TCGGGCTATAAGAGAAACGCTACTTGATGCTACCGAATAAGCCAGAAATTTTTCAGCAAGCTAACAATTCTGAGCAGCAAACAACAGTTTCCAAGTTTTAAACCTACAATAGCAGCAATCTGACTGCGTCAAACCCCGCGATTAATCCTTCTAGCAACTCAGGGCAAGCACCACAAATAGCAGCTGTTTTTGCAGCAGAATACCACACAATCCCAGCTCTCTTCATCCCCCAAAATAAGCACTCTGCCATGTATAGTATTCCCAAAGCCGTCACACAGCAGCACCGGTGTCTCAAGAAACACGCACGATGGCGGAATTGGAGAAAACCTGGGAATTTAAAGGGTATGCAGGAAACGATAAAGAGCTTTAAAGCAACTTTATATAACTGAACTGAACAACTGCTGGCCATTAAAAGCCCTGATCTCTTAACTACTCATGTTGAAACCTGCAAAATGTAAATCAAGCCTTTGCGAGACCAACTAAAATAGAGTCCCCCCCAGGGCTCCACAAATACCACGGCAAAGCCACGGCAGCGTGGGGCCGGCTCTTCCCAGCCCCGGCTCAACACGTCTGCAAGGGCTTCCCGACACACCCTGTAACACCAGCCTAAGTGCCGGAAACACTCTCTCCCAACACATTAATTACCATTTCTCCGCTTTTAAATTGCAGCTACACTATGCAAAACTTCACGTGCGCACGTCCTGCTTGTTTGCCGTTGGTTTTGCAGTGGTTCCCTATGAAGGCAACGAACCGCAGCCTCGTAAAGTTTTAATAGGATAACCAGCAAACTAACAGCATCACTCTGCTGCACTAAATTAAACAAAGCAACTGACTGCATCCCAATGGCATAAACTACATACTTAATTTAAGGCAAATTTTATAGCCCTCCCTTTAAAAAAAAAAAAAGCTGCTTTTTTGTACTGAAGAAAAAAAAACAACCCTACCTCTTCTGCTACAAAAAACTGGCAAATCAAGCCAAAGCTGAACATAAGAACTGGCATCTTGCCTGGGTTTCCTTGTAAATGCCTTCAAATGGCAGTCATAACCCAAACTACGCTTCGCGGACAAAGTATATATAACCAAGCATGATTGCTCTCCTCAAAGCCAAATAAAGGACTGAGTGGTTAGAAAAGGGGGAGGTGAAGGAGATAGGCAACCCACGTCTAACAACGAGCAGCTTTTACAAGTTTTTCCTGTATTTTATAAATACAAGATACCATCCAGCTTGGTGCCACGGGTTTCTAGGCTGGTCAACAGCAAGGATTTCAGAAGAATTCAAGAGCAGGATCACTCAGTTCTAACCACAGTCCGTGCCCACAAACACAGCCAACACGTTTTTAACGAAGGCAACCAGCAATTTAATTTTTCTTCTTGGGAGGCAGACGAGCAGAGAGCTGCCTTCCAGCACTGAATGCCAGCTTCTCTTCTCAGGCAATGACAGAAGAGATGGGAATCGGTCTTTCTTGCCTACCAGATAGTCCTGAACTCACAGCTGAGGCCACCAGCACCATCAGTCAAGCACATCTCCTGGGCACCGTCCCTGCTGAGATGCAGCAGACAGGGAAAGCCAGACCAGACTGCTCCTAGCTCACAGGCTTGTTGATAAAAGCGTAGCTGCTCTCAGCGGAGATAGGGCCACTCCAGAGCCACGAAACAGCCACCAGCGTGCTGAGGACGCTGCCTCTTTGTCCGAGGAACAAAACACCAGGATCACGATAGCTGAAATCGAGCAGATCCAGGCAGAGAATAAAAGTGGTAGGGAAAAATGAGATGTGGCTCTAGCAGGGACGGTTGGGAAGGGAACAGGGAGCCACATGTAAAAGTGCATTAAAAAAAAAAAGGTGTAGAAACAACACAAAGCACACAGAAATTAGAGCTGCAGAAGGAAGAAGTGAGAATCTGCTCTGATACATCTGAAAAAATACAAGCCTTTGCCCAGCAACACTGCCCAGCACCCAAAACACTCCATGCACCTCCATACTACTTCTTTTCCCCTTCTTCTAGTGCTCAAAGGAACATCTTTAACACACAGTTTTGTTTTGGCACATTAGGGGTCTAAATAGCAAAGCCGTGCTAAAACGTATGCATATGAAGTGCTGGGGAGATGCCAGAACTATCCCAACGCTCCCAGCAGAAGCGAACAGCACAGACTGTAAAAATAATGTGACGCTATGTCTTCAAAAAAAGCAGACAACTAACTACATACCGTAATGCCTCAGCTTCCATCTTCTATTTAAAAGTTGGCACTGCTGCCACAAAGTCCCTTATTCCTGGAATATACAGGAACATGGGGGGAGGGCAGTGTTGGGGAAAAAAACACTGAGACTGGTTGGGTCAAGTCTAAATTAGAAATAATTCAACCTGAGGAACTGGAAAATGGGGGAAGCAAAAGGATACTTTTAAGAAAAGTGGAAGAAAGGACACAGTGGTGCTCCCCCCTCCTCTCGTGCACTAACTTAATTACACAAACACCACGCTGCGAATGGGTTTAACTCCCCCTTCTCCTGATTTACAGCTGCAAACTCCGGTCTCAGAGCCTCTTGGGGGGAGGCCTCTTACCTAGGGAGTCTTAATACCCTCTCATACAAAGAGAAACAACTTTTATAACTCCTGATGTTCCTTGTGCAGGGACTGGTAATTACCCCAATTCTGCTCTCCCCAGGGAGCACCCTAACTTCTGGGCACAGATCTCCTTTCCAAACACTCCTGGAATATGAGCCTTTAACTTAGTAATAGTGATCCACACTGTATTTTTCTGTACCAAGCCCTTTGATAGCATCTAGTCACAAAACTAAAGATTTTTAAATGTGTTCAGAAGAGTAACTTGTAAGAAGATTCAAAGGAATCCCTGCAGTCCATTCTCACATGTTGGCAACAGACCTGCAGTTCTTATTGACCTTTTGCAAGCTTCTCCAAAACGTTGCACTGATCGACATGGACGGGACATTGCTGGATGTTAATCAAGACATCCCAAACTGCCAAAATCTCAATGCAGCGCAGCATTTGCACGCTGGAAGCCTGGAGCCGATGCTGTCAGTCCTGAGCGGGTGCAAAGCAGCGCTAACCATTCAGGATACCCGTGCTTTTACAAATAAAGGCAACTGCAGCATCAAACAAGGATACGGGTTTGAGCACACAGCCTAAGCCTCAAAAATCATGCAGAACTAACTGCATAAAAGGGCTTTGTGTCCCAGAATGCGTTCGTGTCCTACAGAGTACACAAATACTTGTCAAGCCCTTTGCCTCTTCTCTCTTACTGATGTCAATAATTAAGTGTCCCACAGACCATGGTGTGCTGTGGGGAACAGCCCGGGGGCAGACAGAATCCAAATGTGGCACCCAACAGCTCACACAAAGATGGCTTGAAGTATTCACAAGAGCACAGCAATGCAATGCTGCAGAGGAGCTTGGGGCATTTGAGACTAAAATGGCACTTTTTAGTACAGGACAGTTCTTCAGTGTGCAAGGAGCTCGGGAATGCGTACAAAGGCACACAGGAATATTTACTGCTTGCACAGAACATGCACAGATAGCTTGATGCCTTGCTATTAGTCTTCTTAAAACTAAGTCCCACCACCACCACTCCCACAACAAGCTTCCTATTCTTAAAAGGCTTTACATTCTAAATACCCCACCGAAAAACCTAACTGGAAGAAAGGAAACAAAACCACTCAAATATCTGAAAGTCAGTCAGTCAGCTTCTTCTTAAAAAGTTGTACTCTAGTCTAAAAATATGCCAGAGCAAACTCACAAACCTACAAGAGCCTGCGAACAAACCTGAAACCCAAGTGATTGACAACAATGATGTAATACTACACTATTTTTAAAGATGCAGTTGTTTTCATCAAAGAAACATGCATGTTTCTTCAAAGCCCAGGACACAGCATACTGTTTGCTCCAGTATGTCAGAAAAACTTTTTTTTTTTTCCTCAAAAATCACCCATACACATGCAAGTGCACAGACTCAAGGGCAGCAGTAATACAGACACGCCTCAACTAAGTTTTACCTTGATAATGAAGAACCATGATGTTCTATTAAAGAATAATTTGAGAACAAATCTTAGCTTACAGTTTTTTCCAGGTGTCCTGAATAAAAATCCCCAATTTACCAAAAAAAAAAAAAAGAGAAGAGGCCTTAGTAACTACTTCCCCTTAACCAAACAATTACGTATGGTTATGTGGTATATTTATTTCAAAGCTCCTAACACAAAGAAACACTTCTTTAGGGTGGTGAGACACTCCTGGCTGAGGCAGGTGGACGCAGCCAGCAGGTGACCCCTGGTACAGGACTCAGCACCATCATCTCCATCTCATGAATGCAGGCGGGAGCTTTCATACAACCCGTCCTCAGGCTGTGAAACCCAAGATTCAGCTCCCCCACCCCTAATGCAACTTTTTTTTTTTCTCCTCCAAATTACACCAAAAGCGCAATGCATTATTGATGCTAAAACTTAAGGTTCAACAGTGGCTCTTGAACAGAAACTGCGAATGGTTACTCTGAGGCCTTTTTTAATTTTTACTTTATTTAATGATGCGAGGATGTAAGCTGTGGTTTTAACTTTCTGTGGGTTGGCTTGTCTTCCAAACCAATTACCCTTTCTCCATGTCAAGACAGCTTAAATAACTGAATGAACAGAGGAAAAGAAAAGCTTGTCTACAAACCAAAGCGACAGCTAAAATACTTTAACCCAAAGGAACCTCTGGGAATGCCAATTAACCAGAAAATTCTCCTTCTCCTTTTTTTTTTTTTGACTTGATGTTACAGTTCTGCTGTAATGCTGACTGCTCTCTAACAAACCAAACCCACACAGTATTTATTATTTAAAAGACAACGCTGCCCTGGTATAAGAGAATACAGAGCAGATGTGCCCACACGTACACACCTTTTCCCGCAGCGCTTGCCACTTTTCAAACCAGCCTCTCCTACCTGAATCCCAAGCCTGTTGCTGCCTGGAAGACTCCAGGACCCAAACTTCCTGGTGCACGGGGGCGAAACACGCTCACCGCACCCTGGAGCAAATTCTGCCTCTCGCAGCCTGGGCTTGCTTGTCTCGCAAACGGACAGCACAACCAATGCAGACTGCAGCGAAGCAACCCTTTGCCATGCTCATGTTCGCTCTGCCTCTGTGAAGAAGGCTGAAATTCAAGTCCATAAAGCTCTGGTTTGCAGCTATGATTAGCCCTAAAGAAAACACCAGCAGGCAAGGGGTGAAGAGCCCGTCTCCCGTCCTGCAGGACCAAACCCGTGCGTGAAGAGCCCTTCTCCCGTCCTGCAGGACCAAACCCGTGCGTGAAGAGCCCGTCTCCCGTCCTGCAGGACCAAACCCGTGCGTGAAGAGCCCGTCTCCCGTCCTGCAGGACCAAACCCGTGCGTGAAGAGCCCGTCTCCCGTCCTGCAGGACCAAACCCGTGCGTGAAGAGCCCGTCTCCCGTCCTGCAGGACCAAACCCGTGCGTGAAGAGCCCGTCTCCCGTCCTGCAGGACCAAACCCGTGCGTGAAGAGCCCGTCTCCCGTCCTGCAGGACCAAACCCGTGCGTGAAGAGCCCGTCTCCCGTCCTGCAGGACCAAACCCGTGCGTGAAGAGCCCGTCTCCCGTCCTGCAGGACCAAACCCGTGCGTGAAGAGCCCGTCTCCCGTCCTGCAGGACCAAACCCGTGCGTGAAGAGCCCGTCTCCCGTCCTGCAGGACCAAACCCGTGCGTGAAGAGCCCGTCTCCCGTCCTGCAGGACCAAACCCGTGCGTGAAGAGCCCGTCTCCCGTCCTGCAGGACCAAACCCGTGCGTGAAGAGCCCGTCTCCCGTCCTGCAGGACCAAACCCGTGCGTGAAGAGCCCGTCTCCCGTCCTGCAGGACCAAACCCGTGCGTGAAGAGCCCGTCTCCCGTCCTGCAGGACCAAACCCGTGCGTGAAGAGCCCGTCTCCCGTCCTGCAGGACCAAACCCGTGCGTGAAGAGCCCGTCTCCCGTCCTGCAGGACCAAACCCGTGCGTGAAGAGCCCGTCTCCCGTCCTGCAGGACCAAACCCGTGCGTGAAGAGCCCGTCTCCCGTCCTGCAGGACCAAACCCGTGCGTGAAGAGCCCGTCTCCCGTCCTGCAGGACCAAACCCGTGCGTGAAGAGCCCGTCTCCCGTCCTGCAGGACCAAACCCGTGCGTGAAGAGCCCGTCTCCCGTCCTGCAGGACCAAACCCGTGCGTGAAGAGCCCGTCTCCCGTCCTGCAGGACCAAACCCGTGCGTGAAGAGCCCGTCTCCCGTCCTGCAGGACCAAACCCGTGCGTGAAGAGCCCGTCTCCCGTCCTGCAGGACCAAACCCGTGCGTGAAGAGCCCGTCTCCCGTCCTGCAGGACCAAACCCGTGCGTGAAGAGCCCGTCTCCCGTCCTGCAGGACCAAACCCGTGCGTGAAGAGCCCGTCTCCCGTCCTGCAGGACCAAACCCGTGCGTGAAGAGCCCGTCTCCCGTCCTGCAGGACCAAACCCGTGCGTGAAGAGCCCGTCTCCCGTCCTGCAGGACCAAACCCGTGCGTGAAGAGCCCGTCTCCCGTCCTGCAGGACCAAACCCGTGCGTGAAGAGCCCGTCTCCCGTCCTGCAGGACCAAACCCGTGCGTGAAGAGCCCGTCTCCCGTCCTGCAGGACCAAACCCGTGCGGGGGGGGGAGGGGGGGAAATGAAGTTTCTCAAGAAAAGTGAGAAAATTGATTGTGCTTTGCCGGGGGTGCCGTTCTGAAGCGAGTTGGTCTTGTGCTGTTGAAAGGCACAGGCCTGAAAGTGGGTCTGAGGGGGACCCCTGTTTCCACCTCCGCTTCTTTAATTTTTAATGAACTTGTAGCTATTTTCATATCTAAATCCAGATCTCTGTGCTGCTTACAGGCAGTGGCTCTGTCAGACGTGGCCAAAGACCGGGGTATGAATTTGAGCTATCGCCAGAAGATCTCTCTGTACCTTTTCAGGTTGAGGAACTGTGTAAAGATTAAAATCCAGGAATCATGTAAAGCCAAAACTGCTTTTATAGGAGAAAGTGCTTCCAGAAGCCTGCTCAGGAAACAGGAAACTACTCGTCATGATAGGAGAGTCCAGGGAAGGCTTTGTAAACTCGGTTATATTCTGAGAAAGCCTGAGTGCAGCGTGTGGCCATAACAGCAGAAGAAAAATACAGTCTGTTCTGGGAAAAAGATGCACTTTCTTGTTTTGAAATAAACACATGTATCCTATAGAAGCTGACCCTTTGCTTCTTGCATTAAGAGCCTGTGTCACACAAGGTACTCACAACACATACTCGTAAACAAGCCTAGAAATTACCCTGCTGATGGTAGATATTATTACTCTTGGTACCGCACTGGTGCGGTGATTCCTCATTTTGCCTCCCCAACAGAGTATGCACCTGGCCGCGATGAGATAGCCTCTGTGCCAAGAGTCCCCTGGACACCCCCAGCACCAGCAGAAGGGACACGGGTGCATTACAGAGTCATCGCTGCATCCCTATTGTTCGGGCTGGAATTACACATCTCCAGTGGAAAGTTTGATTTCCTCTGCTTCCCCCCCTTTTCCTCAGTTTCTGAAAACAAGACAGCCGCTGTGAAAGTGATGCTGAGCTGGTGCCATCAAGGTAGAAGGTCTGGAAACAGCACGCTGATGGAGCTTCTCAGGTTCAGTAGCAGCCGGGCTATTGCCTGCAGTTGAGAACGGACACAGCAGGGTAGGCAACAAGCAACAAGGGAGCAGGAAGCCACATGGAGCAGATCTATGTGAGCGAGAGAAGTATTAGGGTAGAGGTGAGAAGGGAACAAGGACTCTGAGCAGGATCAGAGGGTATTGCCACAAATCCCACTCAGTGGAGCAGCGGGATCATCTGTGCACGTGTGGGAGGTTCCCATGGATAATGGAAAAAATTCAGCTTAATGCAAAATTCTTGGGTTTAAAGATACTCAGTTTTAGTACTTAAAAACAATATTTTGCTTGAGGTTTTTTAACTAATCATTTTCCAATATTTTAAAGGATGTATGTAGAACTGTCCTCAACAGTTTATGGGAAGCCCTCCTGTCATTTCCAGGTTACTGACTCTAGTAAAGAAATCCCGAGGAGGAGATAGCTGCTGATATTTGCCATCAAAATACACTTTGTACTTGTAATGGCAATTTCATCTTCGACATAGATATTTAAAGTACTACGAAAGATCAAGTGATGCAGTCTTATTTCATTCGGTAAACCTGCACTCATCTAACTAAACCCAGAATTAAATCTCATATCCCTATAAATACATGACCGATGCTTTCCGTTTAATGTCTTACCTGCTGAAATACTCTGTGAAAGCATTGCAACGTATTCCCCATAAACCCATTTCCTTTCCAACACAGGAAAAAGCACCCTCATGTTAAATAACCGTGTCTTAAAAGCACAGAACCCGGATAACTTCTCAAACTTTGCAGTGCGTACAGGGGTGAATCACAGTAAAAAACCCTTGGTCAATAAATTCTTACGACTGGAAACTCCCACGAAGCAGAGTGAGTCATCCTGCACGGCAGGAGTGGCCTGAAAGGAAGGAAGGACTGTGTGATAGATAGGATGGGCACAACAACGAAACTTTCAGTTAGCCATCTGTAAAATAAGAATAATATTTGTGGATAAGCTTTGTGACTGTGCTGGGATTAGACAGCACAGGCACAATGAAACAAGAGCAGAAAAATGACATGACTGCTGTTTCAAAAGCAGGTGCAAGTCTACAGGCACTTACTGCCCCAAATTGCGCTAATCACAGTGATATCAAGTCTCAAGAAAATTTGCTTTCTATTTAATAAAGAGGTGGTCAGGGAAGAACTTAAATATATAAAGTTAGCTGTAGAAATCAACACGTTATTACTTCAATTCTTTTTTGAAGTACGCAGGTCAGGTTAAATGAATGAGAACAAGTGGGGAGAGAGTAAGAACAAAGAGAAGAAACGCAAAGAAGGAAAAGCAAATCAAAAAGCTGAGAGGAAACAGCCCTTATAAAAGCAACTCCTAACAGGAAATTCTGTCAGCTTTCGGAAGGCCAGAACTCCCGAGGTTGGCAGTCTCGCTCTTCCAATAGACCTCTTTTAGAAAAAAAAAAAAAAAAGAGAAAAAAAGAAAAGCAGTATTTTCTTTCCTTTGATAAAAAAAAAAATTGCAACAATGTGGTGTACACCCACAAGCAATCAGAAATAACAAGTTTAGAGCACAGTTAGTCTCTGTCCTTCAGCAGCTCAAACCGAGCGCTAACACACCTATACACTAAGACATTTGACCCATTTGGGATTTACGAGGTCCAGAATGTTTTTAGTAAGCATCACGGGGCAGCAAGCACTTTAATTTTCAGTCTTCCAATACTGATTTAGTATCAGCATTTATTCACAGACATAGGAAAACCACTCAGAAGTTTCAGACTGGGATAGCAGAGCTTGGTTGCTCTGTGGGTGTCAATTATTAAAACAGGTTGGTAAAAGTAACCCACACAGAGAAAAAAAGCCCTACATTTGCCAATAAAAGTAAATAGATCGCTTGAGGATCCCCAGATGAAAACTGCTGTCCACCTAAACATTTCATTACCAGTACATATGTGTCAGTTTACACTAAAAAATGAAGGACAGAAAAGCCCTGTGCTCACCATCAGCCTCACAGACTTATCAGCCACTGGAGGAGCCAATCTTATGAAATGTCACTTGTCACAATCTGGCTGGTTTGGGCAACGCAGAAAGAAGTTTGCAGCAGTTTTCTGCCCTGCCCGCCGTCGCACAGGGGCTTCCTGCAGGCCTCACTGCTTTTCTCAGTGGATGCAATCAAAACAACAGTAATCGCAGCAGACATCCCCTCCCCAGCCACCAAGTAACCAAAAACACTTAAAAGAAAGCAGGCGAGTCAGCAGATTCAAAGAGTCAGTGCAAAAGAGTCAAAATTCAGAAAGGCTGGGTGACAAGATTCAGATGCTTTTACAGGTGGATGCAAAAAGAAACCACACTGCAGTCTCCAGTACTGCACTGGGGAACCCAGAAAAAAAAAAAACCAACTGCTCTAAACCACTTCTTTTTATGAAGATAAAAGCAAAGCTTTACGCTTGCTTGTTTTCTTATCTTGGTTGAAAACTTTTTTACTGAGTTGGACCAAATATTTTGACTCAGTCCCAGCTGGGATAATCTCTATGATTCCACTGAAGCATAGAAATGACTGCAAATTTAATCAACTGATCCATCGCATCTTTCTAGTTTCCAAAGTGAAACAATCAAAGTGCCCATGTGCTATGCACGGTGGGATTTCAATTCTGTTCTTACTAGCTGGGCATTGCATTGGTCTCAACGTCAACAATGATGAAAAAGCTTGATTCCTCCAGGCAATGGCCTCCAGGCGTGTCTTAAATGGGAGAGAAAAGCTGTAGCAGAGTTGTGTCCCACATTTTATTTCCAAGGAATGGCAGAAACTGTAGACTGGGGAACCAGGTTAAAGATCGAACAATCTCTTCCCACATGCAGTGCAACAAATGGAGCTTAGGACTAATGTACAAATGCATAAGAAGTGCACTTCTGCATTAAACTTTAAAAAAAAACCAACTATGGTTTAAAGCCATCCTGTTTAGAGAAGACCTTCTGCAATGAAGGATAGGTCTGCAGAGAATGTGAATTAGTTTGGCAAATGTCTGAGGTTTCAGCACAGTCTTTGTCCACTATCACTACCAATAAAAGTAGAGAACAAATCAGAGAACCGTACTAGTTACTACGTGTTCATACCTATCACAAATTTATGGAAGCAGGACATTACTGTAATCTTATAAATAAAACCAAAAAAGAGGGCTACTAGCCATGAAAGCAGAAGGTGTTTCATATAATGGTTTATTTAAGTTTGACTTTCTTAGTTGCTCTTTTGCAGATTATCCTAAATAATCCTGTATAGCAACTACTGGTAAGTGAATAAAAAAGTATCTCTGAACCTGTTCATGAGAGGTAATCTGCTTCTTCCAAGTTTCTGCAAACCCAAGAGAAATGAAAGACATAAGCTGATTATTTTATCTCTTTTCTGAAGTGGGTCTGGGATGTATCCTCATTTTCTCTCCTTAAGACTGTAATGTTGGGAAGAAATATGCTAAACCAAAAATAAAACATGAAAGGACTGTGCAGCTTTTCATCTTCCTGTTGTGGATTCAAACACAGCCCATCCTTTTAACCAAAAAAACATTTTGGTTAATGGATATTCGGTGGTGTATACAAAATGAATTCGTAATCTTTGATTCCTAGCAGGGAATATTTTTATCTTTTATCTTTACTCCCTCTTTTTATTCTGCGGTGTAGTCCTGTGCTGAATTTAAGCAACCGTATCTTGCAGCCTACATTAGACTGTGGCAGTAACATCAGGAGGACCCAAGCCACCCCTAACTATACTTCCTTCCCCTCTCCAAGACCTCCACTCTCCCATCCAATACCACCATGAACATCTGCCTTTGTAAAGCCCGCCGATGAGGGCATTGGGAAGGGGACGTACATGGATGGGTGCATTCAGCCTTGAAACAGCCAGTGGGCTTCTTGGAGATGCAACTTTCCTCAGCACTTCTATTCTTCCTTTCTAGCGCTCCCATTCTCCATCA